ACAACGCACACTCTGGCGGCTCTTCGCACCAAAACCAGCCCAATGCCCCAAGCCGGAAGTCGGGAAATGGAGGAGGCAGCTCATGGAACCAAAACAACACATCGCATAACAACGCAAACTCAGGCGGCTCGTGGAACCGAAACTCGGGAAATGGAGCAGGAAATTCGCCAGCAAACAGCCAGGCCAACACACCCGACACTCCCAAAAGCCACAAGAACTCGAGAAATGAATTCAGTCACCACCCGGGCCCCTCCAGCTCCCATTGGAACAGCACCGACGGCGGCAGAGGCGGACTCCAGCCATCTAATCTTGCTTGGACGGCCGATGACTGTACGATGCTGGGACTGTTGGAGCAGAGACATCGCGAGGAGAAGTGGGCACGTATAAAAGCCGATTTCTACAACTGCACGGGTCGAATGATTCCTGCTGAGTTGATCGAGAACGAATTCCGGGCGACTGGCGCCTCATAAGTGGCTGTGATATGGTATGTATGGGGATGAAGGACTGGCGGAAGGCTGAGGAGGGCGGCGTTTGGAAATCATGTACTGAGTTGGGGGGAGGTTTCTTGCTGGATCCTGACCTGGGATGTGTCTCGAGCTTTTTCTTCCTTCTCCTCATAATTCAGTGCAACTGTCACGTGGCCTACACTCACGACAGGCAACGGATTGATAGGCAGGTTTAAGTACGGGAGGGTGCTTTCGAGCAAGGGAATGAAGCCAATTCAACTTCTCCATCTCGAATTATGGCCGGGTACAAGGGATTCTGGTTGGTGTTCCTTTTTTTCAGCTGACGATTGCCGGTCCAGTGACATACATACCGGCCATCCCGGGAACAACAACTTCCACGCTTGAATCCGGCCTTCATACCTTTGTGAGATGTGGGAGCCCTTCCCCAAGTGGTGAGGTCAATTCCCACTATGACTTGCCTTCATACGTTGTATATATTCCCTGTGCAGCCTCCCTCCCGTCCTCCGCTTGGTCATCAAACAAACAATCTCGCATCTTCTTCCTGCCGGCGGTGAGTTCACGTCGTGACACACATGGGCTGTTCTTCTCGAAGCTCTGTAATTCGGCCTTGATTCTTACGATTTCATCACATATATGCTAAGAACACATTCGACAGGTCAAGGTAGGAAGGATTGAGTCACGGGGTGAGTACCGGTAGGATCGAACTGATTTCTTTCTTGTCACGTGTGGAAAGCTCTCACTCCCACTCCCACTCTCAAATGCCTCCTCTCCCGTTTGCAAGTATCACTGCGCTTCCTTTTCGGCATTCCCAAGTCCATCCGTGAGGCACGCTGCCGTACTTCTATGGCTCTATGCAGCCCTATCGTCCGGGACGTTCCGGTCAGTGGCCAGCCCAGCTTGCAGGTGCCTGGCATCGCCAGTGATTGTTTGCCTAATCCTACGCTGGGAAGTCTCATACTCCCTCGAGCTCCTCCACGGGTCGCGAGATCTCGCTGCCCCGTTTGTTACACGTAAGCCTTGTTGTGGCTCAACAACCCCATGGATAGCCACTCACTACCAAGCAAACAGGTCGTACTAATCGGGCACGATGGAGCTTGGACCAAACAGGTCTCAAAGATCTAGGTTGGCTGTCACAAAATGATAATGGGCTTCTGAAACGAGGCCGTTGAGGACGAGATGGCTTTGTACATGTGAGCCACATCAGGTAGCCATCCGAGTGACAAGGAAGGACTGTGAAATGGGGCGAATTTTAGGGATCTATAAGAACGCCTTTATCATGCTCAACGAGGACGGTCATGTCATGCTGAATGGGGACGGTCACATCTCAAGTCGCAATAGCAACACAATACTATCACTAAAACTCTGCTCGGATCTCCCAATCATTACGACTATTGTCATACAAGCAACCTACGACCCTCGATAGACACCTCGATCGTCTGACAGAAACCATTCATCCGTCTTATCCTACCCGGCTCGCGTGAACCTGTCGTTGACTTACTCAAACATTACCTTGCCCACATCCGAGGTCAACCTTCGAAATCATGTGCTACTGGTATTCCCACGTCTACAGCTGCAAGCACGTCACCTACGCTTTGGGAAAATACTGTTCACAAGCGAGTCTTGTGCAAACACCGTGCAATAAGAAGAACATCTGGCAAACAATTCGGATGGGAGAGGACTGCGAAGATTGTGCTATGCCAGCAGGCCGTGGAAATGATGTTGTGGATGATGTTGGTATGGGAGGAGGAGCCATGCAGCACAGGGTGGGAGTCAGGACCAAGAGGAGTAGGAAGTGAGCGGGTCAGGCTGAGGGGTTCTAACGGGGATGGCGTTCTGTGGAGTATGGCGCAACTCAGGAGTTTGGGAATTTCGGGGCTCTCGCGAGAAATGGGACTTCTTCTGGGCTATAAGATACCCCAACAACGCTTTACAGGGTCTGAAGCCTTGAAGCACATACTGACTGATGGATGCCAGAGGTCTGTCAGTCTGAAGGTACACTACTTGTGGAAATTCTCTATAGTTTGAAAATCAAATGGAAAAAAAAACTTTTCTGAACCAGAGGAATACTCATTCAATAATGCACCTAGAGCACATTTTATCAGGCTAAATTTGAGGCTCTCATCAGTCAGGCTCGCAAAAATGCATACATGGGTAACCGCTTCCTTTTAAAAAGGGGCAGATTCTGATTCTAGTATTTACATTGTGAGTGATGGTGCCTCGCAGTATCGATAATCCTACGATCATCAAATCAGGAATCTTTTCGTCGTGCTGTATAGATTATAGACTCAAGACTGTATCGATAATCCTACGATCATTAAATAAGGAATCTTTTCGTCGTGCTGTATAGATTATAAGCTTAAGATTGTATCGATAATCCTACGATCATCAAATAAGGAATCTTTTCGTCGTGCTGTATAGATTATGGGCTCAAGACTGTTTGGTAAAGGGAATATTGATAGAGATCTTTAGTTAATCAATCTCTACGGAGTTATATTGTCGATTAATTTGACACGGGAATAATGAAAGACATCTTTAGTTAGTCTCTAGTCACATGGTCGGTTAATTTGACACCCCTCGGTTAATATGACATCGCTCGGTTAATATAACATCGCTCGGACATTATTATTAAGTGATCAACTACTACATCGAATCCATATCAAATCAGCAACAACCACCGACGCTTTTGAAAGACCTATGGTATTATTACTATTCCATCGAGCAGTATGAGATAAGCTGTAGGGATCAATTGTATAGCTACATATATCCAGGCCCAATCAGGCTATGTGTCGTTAGATCATTATCTTGTCTTGCAATCCACAAAAGAGCTACACCGCAAGGCTTCGAAGGGACCATCTTTTCTTATACTTTCTTGGAGTCTTGTATAATTCTAGAGTTTTTATGTTCTTTGCTTTTTTTGGTTCAGCAATGGCCCTCTCTCTTCACAGTCTTTCTTTCTGCTTTCCTTGCTTGATCTCTCACTATAGCAAAAATTTTGGTCACCATTCCACAAAGCTGAAAAACACCTCGAACCGTTCTATTATGGGACCCGAGCCTCCATTTTTAATTCTCTTTTTCTCTCTTATCGGGGCAAATCCCGGAAATCAAGTGGGCGAGTTTGGTCCATGCTGGGGGGATTAGGAGGAGTTTTGACTCCTAAAATTTTCAGACTCCTCCTCAAGAGCCAGCCTCTCCATCGGCCTTACTCTTGATATGTTTATCGCCGTTGCCGTATTCTTGGATCGAGTGTAGGTGGCTCGTGCGGATCTATGTGTCGCTAGCGCTATACCGTCCAGCACCAGCCGGGAGAATCGAAGGGCACCGCAATCAACACACACTGTCAAACACGATTGCTCTGGCGCATTTGATATTCATCACAACGAAATCATGGAGGATGCAAGACGGCACCTGTTGGAAGTCACCGGAAACGCCAGATCCCGGATCAAGCGTCCGAATAACCATATTCTCGCAGAGCACATCGAGACAATCATCCATTTCTGGCAGCTGCATGCTGGCTTCGAAGAATGCGCCGATCATGGGATTGTATTTGGATACTTAAATGGGGTCTCTGTGTGCGCAACACTCCTTCAAGTCTTTGCCCTCGCGCCAGAGAAGTTTCAGAAACTCATCAATTTCGAGCATCCACGTCGCTTCCCCGTACCAGCCATCCGCGCAGACGGAAGTTGGTTGAGTGAAGAGATCATGAGTACGTCGAGTCCCACCTACACCCCGATCTCCAAGGAAGTATGACCTGCCAGTGGAGTGGAGGTATGGAGCAAGCGTGCAAGGAGCGGTTCCGCACTGCTGTTGAAGTCTTTCTCTATCTTGAAAACCACTATGCTTACAAGAATGTTTCACAGTAAGCAATACTGACTCGGGGATTAGATGTCATTGTACTACTTTCTGATACGTCTGGTATCCCCGACACCCATTTCGGCTACAGTTTAGCACTGATGTCAAGAGAGTCCATGGACCAGCTGGCTACATATGAATACAAAGCCGACTCTTACCTGGAGTATCTGGTGGGTAGAATGGAAAATGGAGCGCCCGAGTCGGTTTGGAATCCCGAGAGTTTCTATACCTTTCCTCCTAGCACCAGAGGAATATCCTTCTTCTGGAACCATAGCGAAGCGCATGTAAGTATAATTGATTTCCAGATAGCTTGCTGCATAAGCTTCACAAAGCTTCTCAAAACTTTGGATTCCGCCAACTGATCTATTTGGCGTCTAGTGGGTTGTGATCAAAATCGACACTGTGGCCCATCAAGGACAGTGGGGCTATACAGTCCTTAACTCCATGAATTATGGAGACGGGAAAGAACTCTTGAACCTCGCGCAGAAGCACATGCCATTCCTGGAGAGGCTCATTTGCAGAGCCTCTCCTGGAATCCCTGTTCCAACAAAAACTGGCAGATATGAGATTGCCGTTGACACACCTCAGCAACAGAACGGCACCGACTGTGGGGTGTTTGCGATATACAACTGCATCGCATCACTGACTGGAGAGGAGATCGATCATAATGCGTGGGCACACGAGCTTCGTTACTCTTACTTACAGCTGGTCCTTAACCACCTTGTGTCACTACCATTACCCCCATCGCCAGTTGTCCTACAATCTTCTACCATGTCCCCTCTTCGGCAGATTCAATTGCCTTCGATTGAGCCAGGAGTTGAGTCAGAGGTACCACCGGGAAAGGAAGAAACAGGCAAGGATGCGGAGGTTGTTGGCGAGGTGAATGGAAAGCATGGACAAGGTGAAGGAGAGACTGGTGGAGAGATTACGGGGCATAAGAGAC